TATATTATTATATAGATACATATATACGTATATATATATATATATATATGTATATATATATATATAATGTATATATATATATATAGATACAAGTAGTGTACAGTTTAAATGGGCATGCATTGGGAGCCTGATCCTGAATACCTGAACCATCATGTATATTTTTACATCGTTGCGGATAATTGTCGTTCAATTGCGTAATTCACGCGTGATATAAAAGTGATCAGTGAGTCCAGACTATTCACCATTACGTTGCACTAGAGTGAATGACAATGTGCGAGTACGATGGAGAATCTCAGCGACGGCGAACTGAAGTCAGCCGTCTAAGTATTACAACTCAATAATTGGGTGCCGAAGCTTGTGCCGATATTGGCCTGTCACTGGACATATTGGCAACGACTAGCAACCAATTTAATTTGGCCTTATTAAAGGTCAGCATTAAGTTCTACTAAACTGCTTAATATTCTATCGATGGTTTCGGTAGTGAAATTTACTTCTTTAGCTCCGGCAGTCACCATACGCCAACAGTTGGGTAAGCTATCCCCAATAGGCTGGAAACCTATCAATGCGAGGCCCTTCTTCTGCATTCGATCTTTCAATTTGGGGGCAATTGTTTTGATATACTCCATTTGTGACTTTGTAGCTATGTACGGATCGAATCTTTTTCCTTCGCTGCCGGGCTCAACTCGCAGTGATGGTGGTACGGCGTAAAAGCACAAATTCGCGTATTGAGTTGGGGCTACTTGTACAAAGCAGTATCTACCCTTATCATCCACAATGGTACCGATTTCCTTAGACATGTGTCCGATGAGACCAATTAAGTGATCTACCCTTTTCCCTAATCCCTCATCGCCTAGCGCCTTCCACATGAGCCACATTTTTAAGGCGTCCCCTTTGCGACCACAATGCAAAGTTTTGTCGCCCATGTCTAGATTGGAGTGGTTCTTATCGGGCTGGAAGAGGTATGAGGCGCTGGCGCCGTTCGCTCGCTTGAAGAAGTCGTGTGTCGTCTCGTCATAAGAAATTAGGAACAGCGAGCACTGCAAAGGTGCGCCTACAATCTTGTGTGGATTCCAGCCCATACTGTCACTGCGATTCGCTCCTTTCATCAAGTCGAGAGTTTTAGCATCTCGTGAGAAAAGCGCCCCTCCGCCCCAACTGGCGTCCACATGCATCCATAGCTTGTATTCCTCACAGATATCGGCAATGGCATCGAAAGGATCGAAGCCGCCTAGAACCGTTGTCCCGGCTGTGGTACCGACGAAGAATGGCACATCACCCCCGGCAAGGCACTCCTCCACAGCTACCTTGAGTGCTGCCGCGTTCATTGCGCCTGTCAGGCCGTCGCATTTAACTTTCACGAGGTTGTCTGTCCCCAGGCCAAGCATGTTGACCGCCTTATCCGAACAAAAACGAGGTTTTAGCAGCTATGTCGTATCAATTATCACAAATGTTAACAAATCAGTGTTTATACAAGTTCGAGCAGCATTGCCACATTTAACAAGAGCTCGAATCATAAAACTGATTGTGTAGTTCCTTCGCGATATAAAGTGAAGCTTAGAGCTGTTAGTCAACATTTGGGATCATATGGTGTGTATGCATACATACAATGTCACAAATTGCAGTACACAAAGAAAGAAAGAGAGCGACGCGATGTGTTCATGTATACTCCCTACATAAGAGACATTGTATTGAATATCAGAAAAGAGCAGGGCTGAAAAAGCTGGCCAAGGTAAACACATCACTATATTCTACCTGCCGATTTCAGAACAAACTAAGACTCAGTGTGAAGCTGTAGTCAATACCTTGAGATATGAATAATGGGAGTCGGCCGACGTGAAAGCTACAAGCTTTTTACCCAGAAGTACAGACATCCCTTTCTGCTTAATCTCAGGCACGGCTTTAAATCGTGCGAGATGCATAGCATACTGGTTGCACACGGAACCTCCTGGCAAAGTCAGACCATCATGCCCACCCTCACCATTCGCACCCTGGACGTACCTACCCAAATATTTTACGCGAGTGTCAACTATGTACCATGGTTGAATGGTGAACTGTTAATAGAATGACGCTCGAACATTGCATAACAAGCAAGTATAATACAGAAAGATGATACACAAGACAGGACAACCGAATTCGATACAATATGGTACGAGTGGGCACATCAGCTACCGCCGTTGAATGTCGAACTGTGAAAATACACACCTATTTTGCTTACCAAGCACCTGTCAATACAGCACAAGACAGTAGCACGCAAAGAACGAAGAGAAATCAATGTATATACCTGCCGCCTATTTTTCGTGCAAACTTGGACAGAACAGATCGTTCCATGGTTGTGAAGACAGGCGACACCTCGTAGGTGTGTGTGTTGGTATTCAGTGCTGTAGAGACCCAATCACCAGCCACACCAACTACATCAGGTGTCCCGTACAACTGGTTATTGAAATTAGTAGAGCCTGTTCTGACTGAGTAATGCTGAACAAGTCGCACAGCTTTGTGTAGTATCTCATGGTCGACAGCTACGGCCTCGTCGGCAAGGTCGAGAGACGCCCCCGCCTCCTTGAACGCATTCGCCAACTCGGTCTCGCTGGTAAATCTCACTGTGGGTTGCGATTCGTCAGCATTCTCCGCCAAATACTGTAGGAGGTCATCTGCAACCTTCTTAATCAGATCTAAATTCGAAGACATAGTGATCTGTATTGTGTACTCTTTACTAGTGACCGTGAATTTCTGACCTCTACATATGAGAGCTTTATATTTTATACCATGCTACTTGAACACTTCTTGATTTGGTAAATACTGTCATGACCCTCTCCCTCTGATCATGAGTAGTGTGAGAGAAGTGTAAATTTTAAGGGAGAGCGGACAAGTCCGTAGGACAAGGACACTGTACAACGTATTTTATTATTTATATTGCCATGTAGCATTTTACTCCCTCTGTGGCAGAAATATGTCAGCAGGTTGATGACAATCTGATTAGCAAGATATCATGAAGTTGTAATAGTTCGGTACATATACCGCAAGCATATATTCATATATGCCTGAAATACACCTCTTATTCGATGGTGGCCGCAGATATCCTCAACCCAATGCTCTTTTGCGGAAATTAATATATACCGCTGATCTATAAAATCATCCGTTTCTACTTTTTACATACTTGTTTACTACTCCAGTCCAGAGAGCTCATTACCACTCACCACTCACCATAGACACTTCATTATTGAAATCACACTGTATACCCATTAGACCGCAAACTTTTACAATAAGTACATCGTATCTAATTATGAGTAAGAATATAATTCAAGGACGACAAGTATGGTTCGTCCGACACGGGCAAAGTGAGTCGCAATATCAATCAAAAATAGCAGCAGACTCTGCACTGCCGAACGTGGTTATAGCTGATCCTGACTTGAGCGTCATGGGTGAGTGTCGAGCAATGATAGTGAATAGGTATACTTTTGAGTAAAACTGGAATGAACTCATGATTTCCCGTGTTGCTCAAGTAGTCATGTATGATGACACCATGTGCAAATCATGGTTGTTACTTGTACTCTTCCCATCTAAATTTCTAACACGGCACATCTCCACTTGCGAAATACAGATGAATGATATATATATATATATATATATACTACACACACACACACACACACTANATATATATATATATATATATATATATATATATATATATAGTATATATATATATATATA